AGAGAAAAGTATTTCCTGGAGGAGATGATGGTGGAGCCAAGTGTACAGGAAGATTTTGAGTTGGCCAGGTAATGTTGTGTATGGACAGGTGAGGTATACATTGGACATTTTTTTTGGCAAAGAAAAGAGGCAAGAAAAACCTGATGTGTTTTTGTTTTTTATTAGGAAATGGGCTCTGTCCCTCTGCTTTCCTCAAGATTCATAAAAGGGAAATTTCTCAGACATAGGAAGGGGTTCAGATATGGGATAGCCAAATCTAACTGATTATATCCACCTAAATAATTATTAAGTGCCAATTGAGAGCCAATACAACTTAACAAATTCTATGAATTTAAGTCACTTAATTTTTTCATACTGAAAAAACAAATCTGATTGGGACTTTGACTATTGATATTTCTCACATCTGTGCTTTCAGCTATAGTCACGTTTTTGGTTCAGAATTTGGTAATCTTGTGTCTGCACTAATGTACTCTTCTTTAACTTTTTTTTTCTTTTTCTTGGCTAACTTTAATCAGTGTCCCTTCTACTATATTTCTAAGTATTTTCTTTCCAAGTATTGTGACTTTGTTTCGTGTTCCCTATAGTTGAGTGTATTGGTGTTTGACATGATATAAGAAGCCTCAGATAGACTCTTGTGCTAATCTTACCCATTTATAACTCTGTTTAAGCCATATTTTCTCACAGAATCCTATCTAATTCTCATATGAGCTAATGATAAGGTATTTGAGGACTGGAAAGTTCCTTTTGGGGTATCTATACCAAAAAAATCTCTTATGCAATTTTAATGTTGAGCCAGCTTTGGCTGTCAGTGTAAGTGGTGATATCTTTACACTATATATACACTTATCCATTTATACACCTATATATGCATAAATGGCCACATACGTATATATGTATATATGCATTGGAGATATATATAGTCTAGAAGGAATGTTCTTTTGATATGGGTATTATTTAAAAAATAAACATTACTTTTATTCAAAATTTATTTTGTATTATACCAGTAGCTGGGTTTTTTTGTTTGTTTGTTTGTTTGTTTGATACCCTCTTGCTCTATATTTTTGGAACAAATTAAGGATACTAAGCATGCACTTAAGAGGTTTGCATCTTTTTCGTCTCACTTTCAACTTCATTTTATGGCCTTCTGTTAGTTTGATGATTTTAATTTAAGATTTAGGTTATCTTCTTATATTTTCATTTCTTTGCAAGCTGTTTTTAATCATTTATGAAAGAAAAGGTGGGATATAAATATGTTTTAATAATTATAATCCATGATGATTGAGTCAATTAGAAAAGATTACATTATTATAGAATAATAAAACAAGTGAGTTAGAGTGACCTTTTTTCTTTTTTTTTTTTTTTTTCCTTTTTGTCTTTTTTTGTGTCCAGCAACGGATCGCAACCCTCANCAGGAGCGCCGCCGCGCTCCCAAGCGGCGCACTGTAGCAGTGCGCCACTGGGCCGGCCCGAGTGACCTTTTTTCTATAAAAAGACCAGTATATGTTATTTTAGGTGGCAAACAATTATATAACTTTGAAAGGTTTCCATGAAATAGGTAAATTAGGATAGTTAATGGTCAGCTATCTAAAATAGAACACAGGAACATGGTCACTGCTTTCTACATGCTTACAATATAATATGATGCTCGCTCTTCAGTTAGTAAAACCTAAGATGGGAATGAAATTTCCTACCAGCGTTCCACAAAAAGGAGATGTTACAGTGAAATGAAACCTTTGGAATGAAAATAAATATCTTCTGTATGTGAAAATAGCTAAGGTCTTAAAGGTCATATTATCCCGGTGAGACTATGAAGAAAGAAGGAAGGTAGACGGGACACAGCACAGTCCCTTCTGGTTGCTCCAGGCAAAGAGAGGAAGGGCAGATTGAAGGACTGAATGTGACTAGACTGTTAGGAGAGGAGCTGGGGGAGGAAAAGAGTTTTGAAGACTTTCAGGCTGTTACTTTTTCATAGTGGTTTTTAAATTTTTCTGTTTCCATTTTTGCTTAACTAATTTCTTTATCTACTACAGTTTTTTAATGGAGGAAAACCATTTCCATTTTTGTTCCATTAAAGTGTTAAATATCATGATAAAAGAGGTGACTTATTCAAAGTCATTGTACTATACAGCTGCTTTTGTGCTGAAATGACTATGTCATTCTGAAGGAAGTTTTATGTTTTATTCTCTTAGTTAAAAAACTGGATTCTTCAATGACTTTATTCATTCTCTCTGGGATTACTCAGTGTTTACTTTCTTTGATAATGGCAGGGCTCTCATCATAACATGCCGTTTCTTGTTCTGATATTTGGCAGACTCAGAAAGGCTGGTTTTTATTTCTCCAAAGTGTGTAAACTCTATGGAAACAAAGCAATTTTTCAGTGAAGGAACTTTAGATATTTGTTTTTATATTATTTTATATTTGTTTTAGATATTAGATTGTTATGCACACCTATTTAGTAATCTTGAAGTTGGCAGATTCTTTGACATGCTTTTATGTGAGTAAAAAAATGTTATTTTTAGAGGTCTGTCATGTATCTCTATTGTCATCAGTGGATTTATTTTTCCTGTAATAAATGTAGGATCACTTTTGAGTGATCATATTGATGGCCTGTGAAAAACATTAATGAATTTCCTAATAATCTCCTGGGATATGAACATGTAGATAATAGTAGTTACATTTCCAGGCTATGAGCACTTCAAAGTGCTATAAAACTCTAACTAGATTTCTTTGGAGTTCTGCTTTCTCACCAGATAAAAATAGGAGTACAAATTGCTTTTTACCTTTATAAAATTAATGATATATTTTGAGAGTTTCTCAGGCGAACAACCTGCCAAGTAATATTCAAAATAATTTGCATTTCATCCCCCTCACACTTTCTCTGAGCCTTCCCACTCTGTGGTTCCCCAAATGATTATTTTGAGCACACCAGAATGCCTGTGGAGATTGTAGGGAGCCTTACTTTATAAACTGATAAACATGTTTTTACTCAGTGATTTTGGGGGATAAGTGCTACTCTTTTTGAAAGCTTTGCTATTTCCACATTGGTTTCTGCATTCTTTTAATGTTTAGTTTTTGAGATCAAAGTTTTCTAACTGGCTTCTGGCCTCAGATGAAGTTTCCAGCTACCATATTTTGTTACTTTCCATATAAGAAATATTTGAGGAGTCATTTTCTGTCTCAGGTTGATAGAGCTAGCTTCAAAGTATCCTCGTGGTTTAGAGTATCATGTAAGTTTCACAGATTAGAAAGAAATGAAGTCTGGTTTGTGAGAGAGTGTGTGTGTTCATGCATGTCAGCGCATGTGCATACATGCATGCTTGTGAAGACATAAACTAGTGCTTATTTTTGCCATTCATTTATGATTCAAATTACTAACCAACGCACTTATCAAGTTATCAGTAGATATTTATTGCGGGTCTACTATGTATATGTCACTCTTTATCTCAGCAGAAGGGCGCAGAAGTTTTTTGACACATTGTACTTGCTGTCTTGGAGTTGACTACTTGGGAGAGACAAGATGCACACGTACATGAGACTGAGAACTAATAGGGCAGGGGAGCATAAGATTATCCTAAATGCCACATTGGGTGGTGCAGGCCAGGAATATGAGGAGTTCAGGGAGCAGAGAGAGAAATGAGGGCTGGGAAGATCAGCGAGGGCTCCACAGAAGAGGTGGGGTTTGGTCTCTGCTTGGGAGGGAGAGTAGGATTATAGAAGACAAGAGTGACAGGAAAAGACATCCTGGAATGGGGATGCCATGGACATGGTATTGAACTGAGCACGAGTTTTTTGTATGTGGGGAGAAATATTGAAAGGATGCTGGCTGGTTTGGAAGGATGCTGTTGGAGGAGTGAAGCTTAAATTACTTGAATGGGACAGGTACTTGTGTATATTCTGATTATGAGATATTTGTGGACTTTGTTGAAGGTTACGCATATGTTCAAATTTTAATATTTTCCTTGCTGTGTTTTCTTCAGGCACAGAAAAATTTCTGAGAGAAGTGAGCAACGTTAAATGTTTGTTAAAATCTCTGTATTTTAACATAGGCTTAGTGTCAATATTTTCAGGAGTTGTTATAAAAATAGATACACATGCAAATATAATGTTGAATTGGCAAGTGAGAAAACATAATTAACACAGTGAATTTTTTCTTAGGCCGGACCTGATAGACATGAATACTGTTGCTGTTCAAAGCAACC